AAGGTTAAGAACCACTGAAATAGTGTCTTGTCAGCTTAGCACCTCCGTGGAAAGTAACAGGACATTATGAGGAATATTAAATAGGTTTGACTTACCTAAAAAAAGACAAATATTTGATACAGTAAAAAAACAACTTTAAAATAAAAGTTAAAAAAAGAAAATAAATTCAGTTCCTCTCTAGTAGCAGAAGAGCTGGAGCTTCAGTGACCTTTGTCTTTCATAGAGTTCACGATCCAGTCGTAGATGATAAGAGACATGCAGCCAATCATGACAACAAATCCTAATATCAGGAACATCGTAGCCTGGTGGAAGAAATAATTTCAGTTAATACTGCATAGTTTCAGTTTGTGAAAAATTTCATAGATTAATTCATAAAGCTTTCCTTTTACTACAACTTAAAATGTTTTTGGCATCAGACGTGTAGAATAAGAGACATAAATGTTAAATAATGTCTTACTCCAATCTTCTTCATGGATTTCATTGACTCCTTCTTAACCAGTTTGATATAGAAAGCTGAGGGCAGGATGAAGATCAGCATTGCAGCAGCAGAGGCACCTGGAAGGAGGAATAATTGTAAAGTTAATCCCAACAGGTCAATAATACATTGTTAGAAAGTTGATGATACATATTAACATGTACAGTTATTTACCAATAAAGCCAAAAATATCTCTGATGCTCGGGACAAAGATGACCAGAATGTTGGTTCCTGTTAACAGGGTCAGGGTGATGATAGCGTGACGGATCCAGCTGAAGTCTTTTCTTGGGAACAGCAGGTGGCCGACTGAGGTACGAATCTGTTCAGAACCAGACAAAGATTAGCTCAATGGACTTCATAGTCTTAGTGACTGACTGGATCATTAACAGTAGAGCCTCAATACTTACAGGGAAGAGCACCACAGGAACTGTAAGTGTGACAGCGGCCAGCACAGCCAGGCGAACAACCAGCAGGAGAATATCGTACTTGTAGTAGTTTGAGTAGGTGTGGAGCAGCTCAGGTCCCACATGGACTGAACAGAAATATGACAGAAATCACTCTAGTTACTTACTTCTTATGGCTAAGAACAGTTTGATTTAACGCCAACTCAGCTGCAATTATATGTAATTATTAAACATTAACATGCTAACACATAAAACCAGGGTGTGTAGCATACCTAAAACAATACCCTCGATGTTTTCTACATGGAAAATGTAATTTCTGTTTCATCCAGAGAAGGAAACAGAGTCATAGTGAACACAACTCTCTGAAGCTGTAGTACTGTTACCCTCCCATTACCCCACTGAGACAGTGCCATACCTACAACCAGATTAAAAGCCAACCTAAAAGAAGTAAATCTAGCTTAATTGATTTGACACCTTCTAAATATTTACATTTTCATGTCCTTCAAGGCACTGATTGAAGATCAAAGTACTGAGGAGAAGTAGGAATTAAAATTAGCCTCTTCTAGACACAAACCAGCCCTGCTTCAAACCCGGACCAGGGTTTGTTGCAGTCCCATCCCTGGAACCTCGAGAGTTGTGGTTCCAAACAGGGCTGGATTGAAATCAGCCAGCATAAAAACATTTCCATCATAATCCATTCTTACCCTGAAGTTTTTAAACAATAATAATGGCGTATTCAATTGTATTTCATTTTCTTTTGGTTTACATTATATTCAACAAGCTGAATGGAGAATTCACATTGTGTCATCACACAAACAAATAAATATATGTACATTTTTCTCTGCAGTGGAAAAAATCGTACACTGACTGTGGTCCCGATAATTGTACATAAGCAATAAAATTAAATGATTGAACTTAAACTATGAGCTAAATCTGTGGTAGCCTGAATGTCTATAATCTCCTCAGCCTGACTTCTGCTCTTTCCCTTCACACCTGCAATCCATATTTTATATGGATATAGAAGCCCGGCCACCAGGCGCTCGCCAACATGCCCTACCTCCAGGCCTGGCTCCAGAGTGGGGCCCCGGTGACCCCTGTCCGGGCGAGGGAACACTAAATCCAACATTATTTCTCATCATAAAGGGTCTTCAGGCTGTGCTTAGTCTGGTTCCTCATCTAGGACCTGTCTGTCTGCCTTGGGTGACCCTACCAGGGGCATCAAGCCCCAGACAGCACAACTCCTAGGATCACTGGGACACTCAAACCCCTCCATCACCATAAGGTGGCAGCTCATGGAGAGGTGTATAACCATCAACTTGATTTCCTGTTTGTTAGAATAAATACAATCAACCTGAATCTGTCTGTCATGATGTCAACCTACTGGACCTGAGACGAACACAGAACGGTTACATATCTATCTGCTAATCACACTCCTTGCTGGATCCTCCTGTTAAATCCTGTTATTTAACAGGATTTAAATAATCCTGTAATTCCTGTGTTTTTTTTTTTTTTTGTTTTTTTTTTTTTTGTTCAGCTCTTCTTCATTAAATCTTTAAAATCTCCTCAATGTCTCAACCTGCTGTATTTGGGTCCAACACCAACACGCATCTTGACAACATCTCAATACTGCTAACAATCTAAAGCTACCATGTTGTAGTTTTTAAATCTTGCCCAACTTACTGTTGAAGGTGAGGTATCCAAAGAGGGCGGCCAGCAGGTACATGATGAACATGGCCAGGAAGGAAACGTTGGCCACATTCTGCATCTTTCGGCGTGAGCGGCTGTTCAGGGAAGGAGAGTTTTATTTACCAGACCAAACTTTAAAGAAATATAACATTGGTTTAGTTTAAACCTTATAGAAAGTTTGAGTTAAATCCATGCAGCAGCACTTACTCTTTGAGCTCATCATACATGGGTAGGATAGTAGGATGGCACATGAAGGCAAAAGTGAGGATGGGTATAGCATAGGCAGTCTGGAGAGATGGAAAAATACAAAGATTATAAGTTATTCTATGAGTGTTATTGAAAATATTCAAACCTGTTTAATCTGTGAGAGATTTATTTACCTGTGAGTTAAAGACAAAGTATTTAGGCTTGCAAGTGTCATCATCTATAGTGGCGTTGTCGCTGTGGGGGGTGATGTTGAACATATTCATGGTTTCATTTCCCGTGTCAGGAAGAGGTAGAGGGCATGGGATCTGGAACTTCTTTATGATCACCTGGAGGAATATATAGAAAAAATATATTTTTGGGTGGTACTATATTGTTTGTAATATATAGACTTTTTAGATTTTAAAGGAACTATTAAATCTAGTCACTAAAGGAGGAATAAGGAAACAAGGTGGGGTTGTACTCACCACAATCAGAAAAAACACCATGCAGAGCAGAGAGAGACCACTGGTGTAACCAAGGTAACCTAAGGGAGACAGACAAAATGTCATCGCCGCTCTAAGGCTGCCTCTTCT